GAAGTAAAGTAATATAAAATCCTGACAATTCTTTTTTTCCTCACAAACTCAAAGAGTTGTGCCTCTTCCACCTCAAACTCACTGAACACATTTTTTTTTTTGATTCTGCATAACTAGGCAAAAGTAAAGATATGTTAACTCTTTGTTTCTTTTGTTCACTGTTCACAGGCTGTTACAGCTGCTTTTGGAGACGGACAGGATGTGGATGACAAACACTGTCGCTCTTTGCTTGCTGGCCCTCGTGGCCTCCGCAGAGGACAAGAAGTTGAGCAGTCATGCGACCACGATGGCTGATAACAGCGCCAATCTGGCCTTCAGGTCTGAAATATGTTTTTAACTGTCAATCACTAACAATATTTTGCCGTTTATAAGCTTGTTTTACTTTTTCTGTGAGAAACAGAATAAATTAAATCTTGTGATTTGGATTTAAGCCTCTACCACAACATTGCAAAGGACAAAGACACAGAGAACATCCTCATCTCTCCAGTGGTGGTGGCCTCCTCTCTGGGAATCGTGGCTCTTGGAGGCAAAGCATCCACGGCCTCCCAGGTCAAGACTGTCCTCAGTGCTGACAAACTCAGGGATGAGCATCTTCATGCAGGCCTGTCTGAGCTACTCTCTGAGGTAAGAATTACCAACGGAATATTTACCCCAGAATTGAACTGTCATTATGTCTATGATTTCTCTCAGTTCCTCTTTTTCTATTCTCTTTTGGTACCACAGTGGGCCTAGCCTTAAACTGTCACTTCTTTATTGATATTGCTCATTGTTTGACATCATGAATTTGTTTCTTCCTGTAGGTGAGTGACGCAAAGACCCGCAACACAACCTGGAAGATCAACAACCGCCTCTACGGCCCCAGCTCCGTCTCCTTCGCTGATGATTTTGTAAAAGACAGCAAGAAGCACTACAACTATGACCATTCAAAAATCAACTTCAGGGACAAGAGGAGTGCAGTGAACTCCATCAACGAGTGGGCGGCTAAGTCGACAGGTGGCAAGCTACCTGAGATCACCAAGGATGTTCAGAGCCCAGATGGAGCCATGATTGTAAACGCTATGTTCTTCAAGCGTAAGTGAAAAAAAGGAAAGTGTTACATTTTTGAATCCTACATGAGTCATTTAGAGATACTCACTGACTCCTCTATATTTTGTCCCACAGCTCACTGGGATGAGAAGTTTCATGATAAGATGGTGGACAACCGTGGATTCCTGGTTACCCGCTCATTCACTGTCGGAATTCCCATGATGCATCGCACAGGTGAGTTTCTCCATCAACTCCGCTCCTTAAGCGATTATGTATTTAACACAGATTGAATCTGCTGATAAACAAGATAAGATATCTGATTTGGGTTTTCTGTCATCAGGTCTGTATGACTTCTATGAGGACACAGAGAACAAAATCTTTGTGCTGAACATGCCTCTGGGCCAGAAGCAGGCCTCTATGATCCTCATCATGCCCTACCACCTGGAGCCCCTGCAGCGCCTAGAGAAACTCCTGACCAGAACGCAGGTGGACACCTGGCTCAGCAAGACGCAGAACAGGGCTGTGGCCATTTCCCTCCCTAAAATCTCAGTTGAAGTCAGCCACAACTTGCAGGTAAACGTCAGCAGTTTTATAGATCAGTTGTTGTAGAATAAAAGTAGAAACATGTAAAAAAAAAATCAAGAATCAGCCTTTTTAACCTGAGGAATTGTCCGTCTCTTCTAGAAACATCTAGCTGAGCTTGGCTTGACTGAAGCCGTCGACAAAGCCAAAGCTGACCTGTCCAACATCTCTGGAAAGAAAGATCTCTACCTCTCTAATGTCTTCCACGCGTCAGCCTTTGAGCTCGACGTGGAAGGAAACCCATACGATACCAGCATCTTCGGCTCAGACAAGCTGAGGAACCCCAAACTGTTCTATGTGGATCATCCCTTCATTTTCCTGGTCAGGGACAACAAGACCAAGTCCATCATGTACATTGGCAGAGTGGTTAAACCTAAAGGAGACAAGATGCGTGATGAGCTATAATGTTCATGTGGTTAACCATGGTGGCTAGCTTTTTTTATTTTTGAAACTATGGCAGGAACATTTTCTTATGTGTGTATGTTTTTGGGTCTGACTGTTACCTCTTGAGCACATTCCATAAAATCCCAAGTTAACTGTTTATAATTCTTAACCTTCCCAGAGATCAACCCTGTATCATGTGGGGGCTCAGCCTTAAAACCCCCCAATGAATAATTCATGGGAACAATAACAAATATGTGCCTGATTTGAGATCGCCTTATATTAAACAGCAGGTGGCACAGCAGACAACATGCTTATATTAAGTGTGATCTCCTTCTTCTTTACACCCTGATTTTTTTCCAGTATTGGTTTGGCTATGATCCACTTGTGTTTTCTTGCAATATCTTTAATGTTTAAAGAAAAGAGATATTTGCACAAGATTCATTCTCACTCCCTCACTCTTTTCTTCATGGCCTCGGATGTTTATTTTGCCTCCAGTCTGCACTGAAATGTTCCCCTGCATGAGCTGAACCTGCAGAGGAAAGGTGGCAAATTCATATTTGGGGCCTCATTTATTGGTGTTGCCAACCATACTGTGTCATGTTGTTGCTGTATTTTCCACAAGGAAGCTGTTGAAAATGTGCGGTTATGTAATAATGTGTTGACTTTTCAATAAAAGAAAGAAACTGATTTCTCTTAGTGTGTTCTCTATTTTGGCCTGACATGTCCAGGTACCAGCATAATCACTCGAATCCTCTGGTGAACAGAAGTATGTGAGCTGACAAGAGGAAAAGGATAACAATCTTTCCAGTCGGCTGGAGGTCAGTCAGTCCTTCCAGGTCTGGAATGTGGAGATTTAAAGGCTTTATATGTGATTTTTTGATCCAGCAGATGTCGCCCTTGAGCACCAGCATGAAACCAAAACAACTCACACTGCATTGTTGTGTTAGCATGCTAATGCTAGTGATCTTTATTATGCTTGTATCTTCACACTGCATGTAAATTTACCTGAAATGAGCGTGATCTAGAAACACAGTTAAGCAGTGAGTACAGTATGTTATTCTTCTTTTCTCTAGTCCCTCAATTAAACTACTTTTATACACGAGGGGAGGAGTCAGCCGGCCGTGCCGGCGATGTAAACAAAGTGAAGGTAGGACTCTGAAAACTCTGAAAACATCACAGACAGTGGGACTCACAGAGTTATTTTCAGAGGATATACTTGATTTATATTACATTTAAGTGTGAAAAATCACATATTAATTAAGCCTTTAACATCAAGCACCCTTTCCTTGTGTCACTAACGTGCCAGAGTATCCATAGTATGATGTGGTTTATCTCCTTCACACTCGCCTTGAATATTGGTGGGAATCATTCAAAGATCCCAGAAATAGTTGTCCTTGCCGTGTCTGGAGTGCACGGTTCACATGGTTAGTGGGAAACTCAATCTCCTGCATTTCCAGCTCCTCACATATAAATGTGAAGCTGCACAACAACAGTAGGGTGACTGTGAGTTTTAAGTTCCTTTCAGACACTCTAAGCATGACCTTTACAATGTTTGGTCATATATAAAAGAAGAAGGAACGGAACATCTGTGTTGTGTATAATCCCTTTGTCAGAAATTAAAGTGATTGGGTTCTTCTGAGTAAGAGCTATAGCACCACCCTGTGGCTGCAAAGAATAAAAGCGCTGTTGACACACTTCCAAGTCTCTCAAGTTTAACAATGAATGTAGTACAAATGAATGATTTAATAACTTAATCGTGTCATATTTACATACAATTCATACTTTGGAATGCAGTGTAAACACAAAATAAAAATGACAGCATTTAAAATAACCCCATTTACATGATTCAGACTGACTGTTGTTTTCCACAACATGAATTTAGCTGACCACATTGTCAGTGTTAATATCTTGAGGTGCTGGGGGATGTTTTCACATAATACAAAGGGAAGGTTAATTCATATTTTGGTTTTATTCCTGAACACTCTTTTCACAGGTACGTTCCATCAAGAAATGATTAAAATTATTTATTTTGAAAATGTTTTGCATGCGCTCTCAGACAATAAGCTTTTAAATACATGCCATTTTATATTATGAACAGTGTAAACGTTTGCCTGTTTGTTTGTTTTAATTCAAAAGTTATCAAGTCGATAAAAATGCTCATTCAATGCTTCTTAACAACAATCTCAATTTGAACACTAGATGGCGCCTTTTAGCTTCTAAACAAATCGTGCATCCTCGCTTAAACCTCCGGGAAGTCTTTCAAAGTCAATTTGTTGACCAGTAATTAAGTGGAAGCTTAGCTGTCAGCTTTCAGATGACCAATATTGATCAAACATTTTGATATTCGGAACTTGGAAACACAATTGTTGCTGGAACTTAATATTATTGAATGTTGTTGGTGCTATAAATAAAGTCTTCTTATGAACTTCACCTCGCATAGTTAATGATTTTGCACTTTAGGACTACTATTGATAGCAAACAATTACAGCAACAGTACTTCATTGCATTCAGATATGTAGCACAAAGAACCAGCAAAGGTGGATTTCCTGAAACAGATTTTTTGGCTTTAAGCATTATAGAAAAAACAACAAGGACAAAATCCACGACTGAGTAGTTCAACTTAAGGATCTTAAAATTGTGATGACTCTGACAAAAGAGAAAATGAATGATCATTTTCATTATCTTTTTGTCACTGCATTGCATTTCTTTCTTTTTTTTAGAAATGGATTTCAATGGACTTGATAGACTCGTTTTCTTTCTGCTCTAATAATAAATGCAAAATGTCTCGATAGTCTTTAGCAGCCTTTGCCTTTAACTCATGGGCAACATATATTATTCAGCCACAGCTTAGTAACAGCCTAAGCCCCAGGTTTTATTTTGAAATAGGCATTTGGGGTGTTGCCCTGAAATAGGTGACCACTCAGTGGCCGGTTAGTGCAAAGAATATTGAATGAGTACATCTCTCATTCAGGCGCCATGCAGCGTCCCTGTGCTACTGGCAGCAGGTACATTTGCAAGTAATGCGCCAACCCTCATTACATTAGCACTGTCATGTTCTGCTGTGCTGGCTGCAGGCAGATTAGCTGTTGGATGGTCAATCCTCTTAAACAAGTCTGCATTAAGCCACAGTGAGAGGCTGGGCGGCGCTCTCCATTCTCCACCCGCCCCTCCCAGCTCTCTGTCTCTTCCTTTCTTTTGATTAAGTCCTCCTCTCTCTGGTGCTCCTCTGGATTTGCTTCTTGCATGTCTCCTCATTCAGACCTTTTTGTCCACCTGCCTGTTGGCCTTGTGAAAAATAGTCCTTATCTCCTGTGTCACCATCTCCTGCCAGTTTGTCCTATAGCAAAATGTTAAGGGTGGATTAATGGCCAGTAATGTATTTGTTCAAGCAAAGCCATGAAAATACAACAAAGCATACCACACAGCAGGAAAAGAAATCACCAAAGTTTGCCAAAAAACACCACAAAATAAACAAAAAGTTAATTATGAAAAAGTCCCAGCCAGCAGCAGTAAAAGTGAATGAGTTAAACAAAGAGGGCTTTTCCCAATCTGCTTAAGAAGATGTAGAAGGTGATTAGATCAAAAGATTAATGAGACTTAAAGATCACAGAGCAATCAATAAGACAGAGTAATCAATGAGACAAAACTCAGAGGTTGCATTATAGAAGTGACAGCAACAGTGACATCTCCACAACACAACAGCAGCTGGCATGCAGGACTCTACCTCCTGTGTTTGGAATATGATGGTCAAGCCTTTTTCTCAGCTTTTTTTCTTCTGTATTCAGCTATATCTTCAGGGTTCAGCCCATGATTGTCTTCCCTGAAGCAACATTCAGAGAGTTGCAATTTGCATGAGTCAGTGTGAATCAATGGCAGGAGAAAGTTACATATTGATAACACCGATGAGATGTAACACTCCATAAAACAAACACATTCAGAAAACAGTTGATTCCTAAAAAACATGGAAGCATTGGTATAACACAAGTTAAGATGAGATGGGAGTTTGATCTAATGAGTAAGTGTGTTATGCTATTTTTTGAATTCACTACATATTAAACTGCACACTTTGAAGGATTCAGACATACACATGGAGAAGATACAGATACATAATTGAGCTTACCCTGGTTTGATATCTGGTGGGTTTGGCAAAGGTTTTGAAAAGTTTGCTTTCCCCACAAGCCAGTATGTCTCTTCAATACCCTTACCCTAATGAAAAGACAAGGCATGGATTAGAGAGCGTCTCATCAGACTTGAATCAATAATGAAATCATTGTTACCTTGAGCTCCGTCTTCCCCCTCACTTCTATTTTATAACCCTCATCGAGTGAGTGGAGAATCTTCACAGTGCTCATGTTGACATGGATTCTATAAGCTGAGGAACAATGTGACAAAGACAAAGAGAAGAAGACATTAAAACATTACAACACATCATGTTGTTTGTATGTGTACAGGGTACTCACGCAGACCGGTGGATTCCATGCGAGAGGCAGTGTTGACAGTGTCTCCAAAAAGGCAGTACCGTGGCATAGTCAGACCTACCACCCCGGCAACACAGGGGCCTGGATATGCAAACAAAAGAAAAAGAAAAAGGAAGAAAAATGTGTTTCCACCTGAAATATGGAGTAAACTGAATATTCTGCGAATTAAAACATTTCAATAAAGTGTTCTTAACTATGATTGTTTGCCACAAACGTGAGGCCTGTATTGTTGTTTTTATTCAATCTACTACGCTTTGTATTTTTCCAAGCCACAGTCTTTCCCAGCATGCATCACCACTGCTATTGACAGTAAAATTAAATAAATAATCAGTTCACAGTATAGCCTAAGGCATACTGATCATCTATTTTTCTTTACACCAAGAATCAGGAAAGAAATTGGTCGCAGTGCATTTAAATTTAAAGCTCCATCAGACTGGTCTAACCTACCTCGCTCACTTAGATCTATCGTCCTTTTCATATCTTTAAATCATCTCTACTTATTCATCCTGCTCTTGCTTTTGATTTTCTTTCTTTATTGGACTCAGTTTGTCTGGACTTGCTCTCCTCTTGCTTGCACTCGTGTACCTCATATCTAGATGTATGTACTGTGCTGTACCTTGTGCCTTGATGTTGCGTACACTATGTGTGTAAGTAGTGTATAGTGTATATGCATATATATATATATATATATATATATATATATATATATATATATATGTATATGCATTTATATGGTGCATATGTGTGCATGGGTGTACACAGCTCTACCTTTACATGTATGTTATTGCAGAGGTTTTCTTTTCTTTCTTTTTTTCTTCAGATTTTTTCTGATGTGTAATATTGGCTGGTTGGTGGGTGGCTAGGCTTGGGGGAGCATTAAGTGTGAGTGATTGTGAGTGAGTGTGTGTGTGTGTGTGTGTGTGTGTGTGTGTGTGTGTGTGTGTGTGTGGTGTGGGTGTCTCTGTGTTTAAATGTTTGGTATTATGTTTTGGATTTACCTTTCATTTTTGATTTTGTATTACTGATGATTATATTTATGTTTTGTAAGGACCCCCTCACAAATGACATGATGCATCTCAAGGGGCTATCCTTGAAATAAATTAGTGAAATTTGATCAAACACACAAGTTTTATTCTAACTGTAGTGGTAGATGACAACAATTCAAAAAAGGCGAAAAACCATGCAGTCGGAATCATTCCCACAGTCACCTTCATATTCCCTATGGCAGCAAAAAAGGTGTGCACGGGTAAAACAGCATGTAAATGATATAGACTCGCCTGAGTGGATTCCTATCCTTATCCTGACAGGCACATCTGGCATGTGCCTCATGTGGAAGGTTCCTACTGAGCTGAGGATGTTCAGAGACATGTTGGCGATCTCAGCAGCGTGCTTGTTGCCATTTTTATTTGGAAGACCTGATGCGACCATGTAGGCGTCACCGATAGTCTCCACCTGTGACAGTGACAACAAATACAAGTTCAGCCAGAGGCGGTCTCTAAACCAGCTGATGGTTTCACCAGAACTACAGAGCGAGCTCTCTGACCTTGTAGACGTCATGATTACTGAGCACAGCATCAAACAGAGTGTAGAGGTCGTTCAGGAGGTCGACAACCTCGATGGGATCACTCAGCGAGGAGATGGTGGTGAAACCCACGATGTCACTGAAGTAGATTGTGACCTGGTCAAAGTACTCGGGCTGCACTGTGGCTCCTGTCTTCAGGGCCTCGGCCACAGAGCTGAAGACAGAGGGGCAGAGAAGCAGAGGCTGAGCTAGTTCTTAGGCTAATGTCGCTAAATGATCTGAGCAGATGGAAAGTAGTCAACATTTAAAGATGACATGCATGTTGATTTTTGGTGAGGCTACTTTAAAGAATAGAATAGAATAGAATAGAATAGATGTTTATTGCCATTTGCACAGGTACAGGACAGTACAGGTACATTGGAATTCTTGTGCGTTTCTCCCTGAGTCAGCTTCTACAAAAAAAGTTAAAATGATATATAAAATAGAATAGCATTGTAAGAAAAAAAGAGTAGAAAAGTACAAATAAAATAAAAAATAAAAATGAGTTGTAGTAACAGCTAAGTAAATTAAAATAAACTGTACAGAAGCTATACACTGTATTAAAGTAAAGATATAATACAAAAAAATAGCAAAGGGGAACACTGTACAATGAAATGAAAATATAAATATGTTTTCTTGTCTCTACTTTCAACATCTCTTATTGCACACATATTTTTGTTTTTTGTTTTTAAGGTTAATATTGCACACTTGTATTGCACTATGTGGTGGTCAGCTGTCCATTTAGTCTGTGAGGTGTGGGGTGAAGTACTTCCTTCAAGTTAGAATGATGTGTGTTATCTTATTTTTTGTATTTTTGAGTGTTTATGTGTGTAGGAACTCACGGAGGTAGCATCTCTGACAGAAGTTTTTCTGTCCTCTGTTTCTCCACCTCCAGCTCCTCTGTTCTCTCTCTGATCAGGTCCTCCAGGTTGGAGCTGTACTGCTCCAGCATCCTCAGCATGGAGTCGATGATGTTCGTCTTCTTGCCCTTGTTGATGATCTTGAACTAGTTGGAGAGATCAGAGTCGTATTAAATCAGTGTATTTTGGTTGATCAACCACTTTAAAGGCTTTATATGTGATTTTTTGATCCAGCAAATGTCGCCCTTGAGCACCAGCATGAAACCAAAACAACTTGTGTTAGCATGCTAATGCTAGCGATCTTTATTATGCTTGTATCTTCACACTGCATGTAAATTTACCTGAAATGAGCGTGATCTAGAAACACAGTTAAGCAGTGAGTACAGTATGTTATTCTTCTTTTCTCTAGTCCCTCAATTAAACTACTTTTATACACGAGGGGAGGAGTCAGCCGGCCGTCCTGGCGATGTAAACAAACTGAAGATAGGACTCTGAAAACTCTGAAAACATCACAGACAGTGGGACTCGGGTGTTACACCCGTTGTAGACAGTGTTGACTCACAGAGTTATTTTCAGAGGATATACTTGATTTCGACATTTAAGTGAGAAAAATCACATATAAAGACTTTAAGTTTGTCTCTTGACATGTACCCTGTCAAAGATCTCATCAAATGTAGGCCTGCGATCGGCAGTTCACTCCAGCATTGCTTCATCAGCTGGATACACTCCAGAGGAGCCTGGTCCGGGGCAACAGTGGGGCGGCACATCGGAGGAGGCTTCTTCACCTTGCGGATGATCTCTGGTGAAGAGAATGTACATGTCAATCAAATTTCAATCTAGAATTAGTACTCCATCACTGTTACACTCCTTTCTGTGAGCTGTTTTATGGAAGAAGTAAAAAAATGCTAATTTTCTCAACCTATTTTAAAAATTGGTGTAATACTTGAGAAATCTTGATTTTAGTAACAAAATACATAACATGTGAAATAATTTCTGTGGTTTGTCTGTATCTGGTTGTCTCCCTGGTAGATACAGACCCTCTGGAGTTAGACCCAGCATGCAGTACGGGGGTCCTCGGACTACCACCTCTTGTAGGATGATAGAAAAGCTGTACACATCTCCCTTGTAGGTGCCTCTGCGTGAGTTTGCTTGGTCCCTTAAGAACTCTGGAGCTGTCCAGAATTGATCTGAGTGAAAATAAAAAAATAATTCTTATTAGACTTCAAATGTGACATTAAGCACAGCCAGATTCAAGGAGTTTTGTGTAAACATATAAAGCTCATCTAATTTTAAAAAGCTAATACCATAGATCCATGTGGGTTGAAAACCTAGTGGGTTCTTTATGTTCTGTAAATACAGCTAATGAAATACAGATGTGACACATGTTGTATCCAGAACAGAAGGTACCTTGAGGTGATTGCTCTTCTATTGCAGCTTTCTGAGACTCCAGCAGCTCATTGAAACCATAGTCAGTAATCTTAAGAACAAAGCGCCCATCGACCACACAGTTACACGATTTGAGTCTCCCATGTGGGAAGTCTCTGTGGTGAAGGTATTTCATACCCTGAAAGTACAAAATGTTACACAGTGTAATTAATATTGATTATGACTAACTGTGCACATGCAGGCCAACAAGGATAACGCCTATTTTAAGCTTAATTTAAACTTCAAAAATCACCCAGGTTTCCCTCATGTACATTGATATTCAGATACAAACATGTACAGTTTATACAAACCAAACCACTCAGTTAAAGAAACTGCACACTGAGTTGAAGTGATGAGATAATCATATGTTTTGTCAAAGAGAGGAAGTGTTGATCTTAAGAGTGTGATGGTAATAATTCCACATGGGTATTATATGACAATAATGCAATATTCCAGAGTTCACCTTGATGAGGTCAAGCAAAAGTGAGGACTTAAACATCCAGTCTAGTTTAACGTCGTCGTTCCTCAGCAGGTCCTGCAGACTGCCTCTGGAGCAGTGCTCCATCACCACGGCAAACATGGAGCAGTCTGAGAAGAAGCCCAGGAATGGATTCACGTTTTCGTTTCTCAGGTCTTTCATCTGAGATTAAAAAAAAGGGGTTTTCAGAATGATTAAGAAATGCATTTCTGTATTTGTCAATATTGCTACTCCATTCCCAGTATTCAGCTCTTAGCTGTGTCAATACAGTTCAGTGTGTTTCTGTAGCTCGAGAGATTTGTTCTACCTTTGTGAAAATCTTGGTCACACTTTGCTTCACTTCTTTGAACTGCCCCTCCTCAAATTTCTTCAGCCACACCCAGTCGCCCTGGAAGAGAAGTCAGACTTTTTTCTTTACTTTTTTTTTTTTCCAAAAAAAGAAAAGTACTTAGAGTATTTTTTTAATCATTGACAAACAAACAATCAGATCAAAAACACACAAGCCCTGAAATATAATATTCACATTTTTCACAACAATTGATTTCAATGTATTTTAAACTGAAAGTCACAACATATCTTTTTCACCCATAAACGGAACATAGCAAAAAACATGATTTTCCCATACAAACCAATCTGAACAAAAAAAAAAAAAACGTGCTGGCTGTTGAAAAAATTACGAAGACTTGACTCCACACAATAAGACTCAGTTGAGTCAGATGGCTTACGTTGATGAAAGTTTATACATAAGATGAATACTCATGAGGAGACATGATTCAACATCACACTTCTGTACTTGTGTCTTGCTCAATCACATCTGCAGAACTGCAGAAGACATTACCATTATCAGGGTCACATTGACCCACCTAGACTAAACTGTGACGTCTATAACACTGGAGCAGACAATAAGTCTACCAAACATCCTTACAGATATGAGGAAGAACAGTTGACACTCTCTAAGCTGTACTTGGTGTTCTAATAACAGCTCAACTCTTCAGGTCTGACTGACATTAGAGAACAATGAATAAACCTAATCACACCTGTACATTATTAATCTAAATAACTACAGAAATTCCACCACACTGGCACTTTGAGGAATGTGTTTTGTTTTTGTTGATGTCTCAGTAGAGATAAGATCCAGACATAAGCCTAACAGCGAAAACCTTACCAACCCATATTTGCATTTTTGAATACAGTTCATACATGGAGACTAAAATGACAAAATGTCTCCTTCACTGTTACTCACTTCATACACTGCTACGTTTGTGGTCTCATGAGTTGCCATTTGCATGCTGTTCACAGAGTGTGAGTTGTCTGTAGATTTCTCCTCCAGAGCACTTTTGGACTCACTCAGATCCTCTAAGGTAATTTTCTGCAAAACCAAGGGGAAGTTTGATTGAAAGGTTAGATACCTATAATATTTTTTAAATAAAGGTGCACATTATTTCAGATTTTGAACATACATTCTTTATTTTGTGTTATTGAAATGCAGAAAAATACATTGAGATTAGATTGATGTTTTGAAGTTTGTTGACTTGATCGAGATGCTCTTACCTTTTTGCTAAGCTGAGGATTAATAAAAGTTAGATCCTCTAAGGTTAGTAGGATTCGATTAGGACCCTTGACCAGTTGGATCTGTTGGAGCCTCCTCCTGCAAGTGGGATTAAAAAAATAAATAAATAGGAAATTGGTTGGACCAATAGGAGTCCGAGTCTTTTGACTATCTCCTAAATCATCTTTGGAACTAAAGCTGTTCCCGATATGAGAACTTTTTATTTATACTCCTGTGAGCATTTTGTGGTCACATGGGCAGATAAGAGATTAGTTCAAAGTCATGCAGACGTTTATTTCTATAGCACATTTAAAACATCCTCATTTGACCAAAGTGCTGTACAGACTTAAAACACAATATAGTCAGGATCAAGTCTTTATTTTTTACATCACCATAATTTCAACAGGACTTTTAAGTTACTTTAAAATCAATAGATTGCTTAAGATTTCACTTTGAGTTAATAGAGTGGGTGATCCATTTCATTTAAACACATTACTTTGATGCAACATGAAGGTGATCTATAGACCAAGGGTATTTTCAGTGATCCAGTTTCAAGTTTGAATGGTTTCCCAAATGTGGAGGAAAAGAATGTAACAGCACTTCACATAAAAAAAAAGACTGCACGTGTGTAACAAAACACTTGCACAACAGCAATTTTGTTTTTCTCAGCATTTTGCCGCATTTTGTCAAGAATTTCTCATTTCATATTATTTAAGTAACCACTCTTTTAGAGGTCATCTCTCTTGTCTTTAACTATGATTCTCTAGTTCACAGACTTTTTGTATTCTGCTTTATGCTTTCTGGGACTGTTGTCATGGTTTTTCTGTCTTATTCCCAAGCTTTTCCCAGGACTTACTCAAAAAGAGTATGTGAATGCAACTTTTTCATACCTACCACTAAACAAAAACTAAAGGAAGTACAGAAATGAAACTCAGTGTTGAATTGTTTTAATTAAATCTGTGTTTTAAGTCTGTACCTGATATAAAAACTAATAGCGAGTCCTCCCAAAGCCAGAACGATGATGACTGCAAACACCACTATGATGTAGTTGACCTCCACACCTGAGGATGACAACATGTTAATGAGCAAGTGGGAGATGAAGATGGATTGATATAATATTTCACAATTATTTGATTAATAAATTATATCATATCTGAATAATTCCATGTAATGGATGTATGTATGGATGGATGGATGGATGTATTGATGGATAAATGGATGGATGGGTGGATGTATGTATGGATGAATGTATGGATGGATGGATGGATGGATGGATAACATAATATAGACCTGTTAGGACTTGTGAAAACACATCCATGGACATGTAGCTGCTCCATTATTCATACAGCCTCTTACCTCCTGTGCAGACCGCTGTCTTGTCAAACCAGCAGCTGGAATCAGACGGCGGCGGAGATCCTCCTGGAAAGTTAATAGACCTCCCAGCAGAACGAAGCACTCCAGATGTTAGCTCTACCAGATAGGTCTGGTACAGCTGCCCCCCTGTGTTGTCAGAGTCCAGGATGACATAGTTGGTCTTAAGTTCCCCAGCATTGTCCACCAGGACCTTCTGATTAAAGCCGGTGAAGGTTATGTTCTTTGTGAAGTAGGCCAGGTTTGAGCCTGACAGCCACACGCCTGCTCTCCTGGCTTTGTTGATGGATTTGGCCAGCAAGTAGATACTGTTGTAGATGGTTCCAAAAAGTGGGTTAACCTGAAAAGGAAAACATTATGTATTATAAAATTAAATTTACAGTTCAATTTTATTAGGTGTAAAAATGACAGAAAGCTTTCATTAAAATTGGTCGAGTTTTTGTCAATTAAATGATGTTATCTATGATTTTGAATTATATATCTGAAGAAAGTGTTGTGCCATCCAACATTTAATATCTGAGACAATGTCTGACAGCTGCTAGGATTCTTTGGTATATCTGTGTGCTGCATAGTAATTAAAAAGAGAGACATTTTTATCGAGTGGCAGCATAGAGAATGGAGAATAAAATTGGACCTAAAACCATATCCTACTGCACACCACAGGTAATTGATCGTAATTAGTAGTAATTACCTATGTTGACTGCAAAGGTACGCCCTCAAGATAAGAAAAAAGCCAACCACGTGCAGTGTCATTAATAACAACCCAATTTTTAAGACTGATTGATTCCGATAATGAATATTAAACAACAGCGCACACAGTTTTATAATTTAAAAATGAAAAGATATAACCTTAATGGGAACTTAAGTCACCCCGACAGTGTGACTTGGTTAGTTGGATTAGTTTATGATCAGTCTGGCCTCTTTGCATTGTTATTCCAGTATTTCCAGTTCTTCACCTCACTGCTCTGTCATCTGTTTCAAGCTGTGTTCATACACATGAGGAAACTTTTACTACGTTTGAAATATGACAAGCTATTTAATATAGGAATTTTTAATGATAAAATACTAAGCATGTGTTGTTATTAAGACTTAATATATAAAGTGTTGGTATGATAAGCTTCTCAATACAGGGGATTTTTAACCTTTCTTGACAAGAATGTATTTTTTATAATGTGATGAACAACAGCAAACTACTTGACTTTGCTTCAGTTACAGGACAAACATAAAAAACTGATAAAAATTACAATTTGCACAAAATAGTGACCAACTTTTAGAGTTATTTGAAAAATGTAATTCACTTTCCAAGAGGGTTTTTCGTGTGTAGCAGTAATGGACATGTAAGTACAGTTTGAAAACAACCTATTCTTTTGATTTATTGACACACACAAAGAGAGTTTCTACCTGCTCTGGCTGCTCATCTACCGACAGTTCCTCGCTCCTCTTGGCGCCAGCGAATGCCTCGTTGAAGGACAAAGTCTCAGAAGCCACAGTGATGGTGAGCACAGCATCGTAGGCCTCCCTCAGCCTGCTGTTGTTTTGGAGAGGGAAGTAGGAGACATTGGTGTAGGGCAAGCTGTACTGGAGGGTGTCGTAGGGAACGAACACATACTTCCCTGAGGTCAGGCCAATTTCCTGTGCTTTGAGAAGAAAAGAAGCCTGTTGCTCCCCTCCAACCAGGAGAGAGTGCATGCACATGATGATGACTGAAACAGACAGCAGAAAAAAACATCATCAAATGTTACTGTATATGTGATCTATGGACAGAAAGGGCATGCCAGAGGAGAGAAATATGTAGATTTAAAGTGTCAGTAGTTGACATCTGGACAATTGCAATTTTATATAGATTTGGTTCAAGAGGATGCAGACGTGCTGAATGTTTGAGTTGGTTGAATTTCCCTCACAATTTCAGCCAGAAACCTCAGTTGCAGATCATAACTGTATCATCTCTTAGCTTTGAGCCCTCTATGTTCTAGGGAAGGTGTCCCAAAATCCTCCAGAGATAAAGGTGCTCAGTGCGAAAGAAAACTAACAAATTGCCACAAGGTGAAATGTGTCGGTTCACTGAGGCTTTCTGTTCAGAAGATGTTCACTTATTTTGTAATATATACACTTTATAACTTATCATTTAGTATTGCCTACTTGCACATAGCTCTGTATATATATATTTATTTCTCGTTTACTGCACATAGTTCTGTTTACATCTGTTTACATCTGTTAGTCCGATCACTGTCCACTTATATCTACTCCTTCATATTTTGTATTTTAAGTTTAAACTTTAAGTTGTATTTAAATTGAAACTTTATATTTTAGATTTAAAATGTTGTTATTTTACTGCTCTGTGTGCCTTTGAATTGCCCCCTGGGGACAAATAAAGTTTTTTGAATTTGAATTTTGAATATAGGCTAGGCTTATGCTTCCTTTTTACTTTTAATTTAGGCTGTCATGTAGCCTACTAATTCCACTTTTTTAGTAGATTCATTATTTTATCTTCTGAGTATCACTTGAACACAAAATTCAGAGTTTGCATTAAGCACTCACCCTTGATCTCTCCTGCAGCCTGGATCCTCCTCAGTGTGCTCTCCACCTCAGTCTCATTTGTACCAATGGATGTAACCATGCCAACCGGAAGCCCCTTATTCCGCAAAGCAGAGGCGACTCTCCCTGCTGTATCTATCCAAGTATCCTCATTGGATGAGACCACTACAACGCTGGCCCACCTGAAGTGTTTCAACACAGTGAACAACACTTCAGAGGGAAACGGCACTGTCCTGGAAAAGGTCGGGTATCCGATGACGCGGTCCAGCTCGTAGTTCACACAGCCGTAGGAGAAGATGGCCTTTTCCCAGTTCTTGGCCAGCAGAGAAGCTGCGACACAGTAACCCGGGTTGGTGGGGCCCAAAAACGCATCAGCGATCTTTTCATAGTAAATAAACGCAGTGAGGGCTTGTGAGGTCTCGCACGGCTCCTGGAGGATGATGTAGTCCATTTTCAGGCCCAGATCCAGACTCAGGTCTCCGTTTATCCTGTTAACAGCGAGTCGGGCTGCCGCAGCTGGCAGGGCCCTGTAATAAACAGGGTCGCAGTTCCAAGGGCCAAGCACCCCCACTTTGAATATCAAACAGCGGACACAACAAGGGAACGTAAATACTCCAAGAAGGATCCATAACAAGAAGTTATAAGAGGGAAGTGTCGTAAAAGCTGGTTTGCTTCTAATGATGGGTATACACGGATGGTTGGACTCCCATAGTGCCCCTTTGAAATGTGGAGAAATATGTTGCATTTTCCCTCCAGGGTTTCCAAGGTATAGTGAATCTATTTGTTCACTATTTAATAAAGAATCAGCCCAATGCCAACTGCAAAACGAGTCAAAGCAAAAGTATTAGTCACGTGTGTTTCTTTTTTTTGTATATTAGGCTACAATAAGTTACAAATGGAGTGTATGCACAATAAGTAGGCTACTTACCATTTCATTTTTTTAATGCCATCTTGAGAGATTCAAAGTCCAGTAAGTCAGTCGTACAGGTGTCCTCTTGGATCTGCTCGTGTGCCTCCAGTGTTCATGCAAACCGTCACTTAACATTCCAAAAAACTTCCTTATTCACCCCGAGCATCCAGAGTCTCGATCCGGAGAAGACACAGCCAAGTCATGGTGTTGGGATAATGGGCTGAAAGTGACAGGCAGAGCTCGGGTGCTGCGTCTGTCGCGTTTGGAGACAACTTCAGCACCCTGGAGAGCTACTTATGTCCCGCAGTCAGCGCCTCTGTGCGTTTCCACAAACAGCTCTGCTCACAGGCACAATGTGAAGAAAGAAGAGAAATCACCTCTGCCCCCCTTGTCTCCCTTCTCCTACATGTATATCTTAAAAAAAAAAAAAAAAATACACTTCATATTCCAGATCGAGTTATAAATCACATCCGTGAGCAATCTCACGTTTAAATGTAACAGTGCAACATAGATATGCTATTGGATATTTTATCTGTAACGGAGACCAGTGTCAGCTTCAGGTCCATTCAGTTAAATCCCTCCAAAGTGACCCTGGACCGAATCGTAGGTGTTACTCCCTAATCCATTTCAGTGAGGCACAATATAAGAGGATTGACAACAGGCCTTAGGCCTACATTAAAAGACTCGTCGTCAAGCAGGCTGGGGAGACAACAAGGCTTTTCACTTGTTATCACACTCCTCTGTAGTCTAAGTACAGCCTAGTCTTAAACCTACACCCTCACATGTAGGCCTTCATATGTGGGTGTATATCTATGGAGCAAACATTTTCTGATTTGCAAAACAGGGTCATTTCTCTTACCATGGAGACACATTAGCCATATTGCGCACAGACACCTGAACCGTGCTTTAATTGGTCTAATATGCTCACAGTACAGCAGGTTCCAAAGATTAAATGAATTTGAACCCTTGTGGAGAGGTGTAATTAAAGATAACGAAGGGCTGTCCCTGGGTCCCTTGAGTTCTGCTGCGTTTTGCCTGCGTCAGTCTTTTCAGCTTTTTTTTTTTTTTTGAAGACTGCTCTGGTGAAGCAGCCTGACCGGCAAATGGTACCTTAAACAACTGGTTGCCACAACATCAACCAAAGCATGACAGGGCAAAATACGGGCTGCATGGACGATTTAACAGAACACATCACTGTGCAGTAGAAGTGATATGTAATGAAGAAAACAGCGACAAATAAATCATTTTTTAAAGTGATAATTTACCTGACAATAACAATTTGCAGTTCAAATAAACCAGGTGAAAGGTCATATGACGAAGATGACCAATTCTGTCAAAACTGGCTAGAAAATCAAAAAGTATTTTATCTAGCATCTGTTCGATTACTAACATCAGATATCAGCTGTTTATGTGTGTGACAGTGTAAAAAAACAGAGGCCCCTCCATTCTGTTTCTACCTTCAGGTTGGATGTAGGCTATGTTACTCTGTGTGTGTGTGTGTGTGTGTGTGTGTGTGTGTGTGTGTGTGTGTGTGTGTGTGTGTGTGTGTGTGTGTGTCTGTGATTTCACCTTTGTTGACCGTTAACCCATATAAGCTTATGAGCCTCTTAAACCTTGACACTGCTGTCCTGCATCCAGGAATAGAGGGCAGAAGTGTTGACTCAGCTCTTTGTGTAGCCTGTGAGCATTTGAACACACACAGCACATCTGAAGATGCTCCTGACAGAAGCTCCCATTAGCGCGTGCACTTTGGCTTAGACACTATTTTGCACATGCACATCAAATAAAAATAAAAGATGTAAAACAAAACAAACCATTGAAAAATGTAGAAGGTAAATTGAACAACCAAATATTTGACATTCCAATCAGCCAGATAAATCTTTCACAATATACTGCCTCGAACATAAAAAAGGAAAAAGCAGTGTTGGAAATACCTACAAATGTTCTTAGACAAAAAAACCACACGGGTATATGTGATCCGTCAACTTCAATCAGAAAATAAAAGGGTCAGGATGCTAAATATATTAGGCCTATATTTAAATCAATGCTTAAAACTAGGAAGAGTAGGCTATAGGCCCTACATCAAGGAGATGTCGACAACACCTATAGGAAAAAATAGGCTACTTAAAATTAAATCTTTGTTATAAATCTCATCAAGTTTAATTATTTCGACATCTAGACTTATTTTAAGTGAAATTTAGGCCTACATGATTTCAAATGAGCTACCCAGAGCAGTTTCAACGTGCTGGTCTAAGGCAAGCTCACAGAGTTCTCCTGAATATTGTGCAGCTATGAACTACATGTGGATGTTTTACTTTCGCGGAAGGTTCTTCAGGGGCCCGTTTCTGAAAGAAGGTTCAACAAACCCTCAGTCTAACCCTGAGCTCTGAGTTGATTTACTCCCAGGTGGGAAACTCTGAGTTTTCGGTTCCAGATCAGCAGATTTCAATTACAGTAGTTAAATCAACTCTGAGTAGGTCCACTCGGTGTTCAGCGCGTGCACCACGACGATAAAAAGCCAACATGAATGGAGCCCCGATACTACGATTCACCATGGCAACAGAAAAGTGGTGTAAGAGAAAACAGCTGCGCGCGTAATGAAGTCTATTAATTTAATATTTAATCTGAATTATAATATTGCAGGTGGAAACTGGTGGAATTGTATTAAACCTACAATTTATTTTCATTAAGATGCAATCCAGCAGAAGAAAAGCGAATTTAAAACAGCTCAAACTGAAATATAAGAACATAATAGGCTCATTTAAAAGTTAACCCCAACAGTGTAGTAGCAGACAGTGGAGACACTTGGGTGTGTTTACCTCTGGCGCCATCTAGTGGGAAACCATCCAGACATGCTCATTATAGTTTTCACTGGGATATAAAAGTGAGATTATTGTTTACCTCTGTAGATGCTAAAGGGGATGTGATCATATTCTCCACCAGATCAATAGGCAACATACAACTTCTTTAAAACGTCCATCCATGATCATGATTTTAAATGCTGACTAGCTATATTTTCTGTATAAATTAGGAAGCATTCTTCTCTTAACCTTTCTCAGTAAGCCATACAATACATTACAACCTGTTGGTAGCCTATATACACCTCAGTATTATTTTTGCCCATATGATGCAGACTGTGTGTTGTGACTTGATTTGGGTAAAACGAAAGAACAAAAAAGAAAAGCGTGTTAAATGTAAATTCTGTCAGAATTTAAAGTTAGAAATATGTTTGATGAGACATGCCCACTCTGGTCCATTTGAATAACATGATGTTCCTGTGTGTTTGTGTCTTCTGCAGTCTGATAATGTTCCCTACATTCCATCAGCCTGCCCCCTATCTTATCTTTACAGCCTTGAAGATTCCAAGACATTACACCATGCAGGAGTTGTGTGTGTGTGTGTGTGTGTGTGTGTGTGTGTGTGTGTGTGTGTGTGTGTGTGTGTGTGTGTGTGTGTGTGTGTGTGTGTGTGTGTGTGTGTGTGTACAAGTAGAAACATGTGTAACAAAGCTTATTTGATTTGTTTCTCTTTCCATCACAACTTTATACTTTTGGATTCATTTGAGAGATGATAAGTTATGTTTTCTTTTGCTTTTCGACAAAACAAAAAAAGTATGTACCCTTGAGAGTCTGTGTTTGAGTGAATTGAATCAGAGTAGAGAGCCTGGCTGTAATCTTTGCTGTGATGCTGTCATGCTCTCATAAGGAAAACAATGGCTGAGGACTGGAGGCCCCTCAGTTCTGTGTGAGCAGCACCAGATGTTCCCCATGATTTATCTGTAACACGTTCCCCCCCTTAGAGAACGTGTTACAGTAGTAGGCTAGTGTCTCCACTCTCCACACATTATGAGTTAGGTCTATAATGTTGCAGGTTGTGTGTTCTGTTGTGATTTCTGAATTATGAAGTGATTGATATCACATGTGCTGAGCATTATGGCATTTACAGAAAAACTTTTCAAATGTATTTTCAATTAAATTTGTATTTCTTGTAGGATCTATATTTGCTAAGCTCAGTGCTCTCAAACTGAAGGTCAGATAATGTGAAGGCAAACACAGAAAAAGTCTGCGTTTCCGTTCAATTATTTATTTTTATCAGTTTCATCAGAATTTGAAATTCAGGCCAAATCAAACAAACCACCGCTTTGTTGCGCAACACAGTTTTCAGCTTGTTTTGTTTTCAGATGTATTTTTCGCGGCATCTCCACCAGAGTGCGCACCGAAAAACAGCGTCAAAACCTGAGCTAGTAGACAGAGACCGGAAATACATGCGTGAGCCTTCAAAATAAGACCCAACCGCTGCTCATTCTGTGTGAATTTTTGAAAACAGTTGAAGGGCAAATTCTTTCAAAACTTTTTTCTCATTCCCTCTGTGTAAAATAGCCTACATTTGCTATAGCAGTAAAAATACTACCATTGTGAAATAGCGGGAGAAAAATACGTCTGTAGTGTGTGATACATTAAATTCGGCCTCAATTGGTTATGCTGTGTAGGCTTATTTAAAGTTAGTTTTTTAGCAAGGTTAAATTAATCACAAGTTGTGAAGTTTTCCAATCTTGCACTTTTATTCTTGTCTTTAAACTAAGAGGTCTATTTGTTGGTCTGGGAGGGTTGTTTACAAGGGCGAAGGGATACTGGGTTTTTAATGTTTCTGAGGAAAAATAAAATGTTGACTGTATCCCAATTGCACTGTATGTTTTGAACTTGCTTTAATAAAAATATGTTGATTAAAAAAAAAAAGAATCACAAGTTAACCTTACAGTCTATTAAGTTAACATATTTCATATCACTAACTAAGTGATGTTTAAAATAAAATCCATGGAAACCTTAGCCAATGCAACACAGTTAAAAGTATAAAGCAAATGAATAAACCACCAGTATGAAGAGCATCATTTGAGAAAAGAAAAACCTGAAAACAAATGCGCGTTTAAAATCCACAGACTGTGATAAAATCCTTTTAAGCCGTTTTATTTTGGAGGCTTTAACCGGAAGTGCTTCCAATTGTACATTAGCGGGAGGTAAAAAAAACAAAACACCGAAAGACTTTCTGGGATGGGAAGACGAGTGTGTGTCCCAGTGTTTCCAGTTTGTGACAGTTTCTAGAGGTCCTCCACACTCACGGAGTGACCCGCAGAGCTCATGCACACCAGCAGACGGAAGAAGCAGTCTGACCCGGAGGCTCCGCGGAGGTCTGAGAAATGGGAGCGGTGAAGTGAAAAACGGCCGAAAAGCGGAATGTGTGGATGAAAAGCAGCAAAGTAAGTAACTTTGAACATAGGCTGATAAAAAGTAGACTATTTACAGTATGACAGCTTATATTAGTCTACTGTTTCGTCGTTGGGCAGAAAACGCGTGTTTAGCCTAATATTCGTCTAACAGCAGTGAAGTTTTCGGGCACAGAAATGTGGCAGAGCAGCGGACCTCGGTGGTCAGATCAGATTTCACGTTATCCTGAAACCCGCCCCTGGTGACCCCACTCAACTGACCAGACCTCCGTGTGTTTGTTACCGCAAAGTATCCAGACAGAGACACCATGTTGTGGTCAAACTGGAGTAAATGATGCGCACAGAGGTGACATGTGGAGCAATGATTGACAGCTCGAAGGGGCGGGGTTGACTTGAATGTTACATTAACGGTAGGCCACATCAATAGGCTGTATAGGCTACACATGCATTGTTGTTGTTTATCATTTATCTGAAAAGGCTGCGTTAGAGTCCTCAGCTGTCCCTGATTTGCCACGTACAGCTATTTTTTTTTCTATCTGCAGAGGTGTGTAGCCTCCCCTCCTCCTGTGTTGAACGTCCCGGGACATGATGGCTGTGATTCAGTGTGCTTATGCAGTCAGGGGAGTTACTAATTCATCACAGCTTGTCACAGTTTGATGAGTTAGAATGGGCAAAAAGACTGAAATCTGAGCACTAAGAAAACATGCTGCTGTATAAGCCATTGTAGAAAAAGTTAAAGTAGACAAGCAAAATAAATCTATGAAACATTTCTAAGGTCGTATAGCCTCACAACAGAATGGCCCTACATTCATTTACTGTAGGATACTGAAGAAAAAGGAATAATGCTCTGTAATGTAGTTGTTTAGAAGTGAAATCAGTTTGAGAATCCAAATCGAAAATACAACACATCTTAATTCTCGTATATCTACAACAACATCCCGTTCATTATTCCAAACTTGATTCATTCACATTAACTGCAGGCGTCTCATTGCCCGCTGTTTGTTTGAAAACACTTAAGAACACTTTCCTGCTCATGAGTGTCATGCTTTTGTTGGGCTTATGAGGATTAATGTGGCATCATCCTTCCAATTACACACTTTTCAGCCTTCAGCGTGGAGATTAAATTAAACTGAAAGGTCTCATTGACTGTAAAAACAAACAGAGTGCTGGAGGACACTGAACTAAATGAGGGCTGGAGAATGTTTGACTTATCATTCAACATTAAATGAAAATAAATGTGTTGAATGGGAGAACTTGCGTGTTGGGTTAAGTTCTTACATTTAAACATTTTACATTTACATCGGCAGTACATTTAAAACATCATATAGAAAAAGAAAATCAAGCTGATTTGTGTTTTACTTGAGAGGAGTGGTAATGCTTTGAGGCAGTGGTGCCTTTGTATTTACCTTTGGCACATTAATCATTGTATTTGCACTGATAACACCTTTCCAGTGATTGCATTATTAGCAGAATTTGATCAAGTTTGCAATGCAGCAGCGAGATGATATCTTGAAGAATGTAACATTTGTGATGAAAAGTCACAGTGATAAAATATAGACATTGTAGGAAGGGGACAAATCTAAACACCTCATGGTTGATGATCCTCAGAGGTTGCTGAGTTACTTTCCCAGGATAGAAGGCGTGAAAGGACCCCATGAAAGTAAGAAGGTGTCAGGCTGTGATTTCACAGGACTTTGCCAATTGTCCACTCAGGGGGATCATGGCTGTAACTGCCGTTGCCTTTGGCTGATTGTAGTAGTTAAGAATGTGTTGGATTTGAAGGCAGCCGCAGCAGCAGTTTGCTGTTAGCTGAGATTTATTGGAGAGAGGTTGAGAGAAACACCTGGTGCAGTGAGTTCACAACAGATGGAGCACATGATGCAGGGAAAGCAGGAGGGAAGGGTCAGTGTGGATCAGAGATGATGAGCTGCTGGGGAGCTGTGAGGTCGACACAAAGAAGGTGAGCACTTACTTTTACTGGCAGTTTCCCATGTTTAGTCTGAGTTGTGGTTTCCCACCAAAGATGGCTTCTGGGCCTGTTGTTTGCCCAAGGTTAAACAGAAGTTGTAATTGCAGAGAGGTGGAGAAGGGAAATTTACTTTTTTTTTTCTTGGTGGCAGCTAATGATGTGTTAATAGAAATGAAATTATCATCATTTTCAATTATAGGACTAAAGGATAAAAATGCCAGGATTATAAAAAAGTAAAGTTGTCTCTTAGTTCTCTAATTGGTGGTTTATTGAATCACTGAACTATTTGAGTTAAGCCAAGATTAAGCTTGTTACAGTTTGTTCTGTGGGTTAGAGATTTGTGCACTCAGCTTTCATTTGTCAGTCATAAAACTCGCCCGTTCCTGTTGGTCAAAACCTTCAGCTGGAGAGGCCTGACTCTTAAGTGTTACAAGCATTCATCGGTAGTTTCAGAGTTCAAGGGTCAAACAAAGGGAACACTGCACAGAGGTGAAAAGTGCTCTCTAAGGAGACTTTGAGCCGTAGTAATCAGTCTGCATTATTGACCCAAAAGTACCATGTAGCCTCGTAACTTCAGCCTGTTACATAAGACAATAAGATAAATAATCTGTCAGATCCTCCTGATAACAGCTGTAACCTGAGTCCCTCTGAACGCCTTTATTACACGCTCTAAAAGACAGTTATGAGTTAAAAATAATGTCACTGTGATGATCAGAGACCGTTTTTGTAATTTTAACAGAGATGCATGTGCTCATGGGAAGTATAAATATGAACATGACATTTAAAAACAACATTCTTGCACGAGTGTGCATGCGTTCAAAAGCATTCATCAATTATTAGAAAAACATGTGAGACCACTGTAGAGTTGTCCCACCTGAATTGGAGTTAGTAATTGCAGGTTAGTTATTAATTGATGTAAGGTTTTCAGGCTATAAAACACTTCTTTCTTTAACTCACCCTCTGCTGTGTCATGCCTGGGCCATTTGACCATGACTGTTCATTTCTACCTGTTACACAACACTTAACCTCTGTCCAATTTTCACACTTATTTCACTGTGTGTGTGTGTGTGTGTGTGTGTGTGTGTGTGTGTGTGTGTGTGTGTGTGTGTGTGTGTGTGTGTGTGTGTGTGTGTGTGTGTGTGTGTGTGTGTGTGTGTGTGTGTGTGTGTGTGTGTGTGTGTGTACACATTGCTTAAGTAAAACTGGGTGAGCTCTGTTCAGCTCTCATTTTCTCATCACAGTGACATATAGAGGGACAACAGAAACAGCTGAAACAGGTACGATACCTTCTCTAGTTATGTATGAAACTAATTTACTGTTGATTTTATTCACATATGATAAACTTTCAGACACTATTTTGTCACTTTTTAAAAGATCTTTAACTTGATTATTGCTCCACATTTGGCTTTTTTGAACTTGTTTTTTTAAATATACATTTTTAGGTCTCTTTAGCGTTTATTTCAGATGCATTGTAGTATTAAATTCTGCATTATTTAAAATGTTTTTTTTTTCTTTTTGCTCAAAGCACAGAGGATCTGCAATTTTTCCTGCTTTCAATATGGAGCAAAGTATTTTAAGGGTCTTGATTCACGACACATTCTTATGTTCCCTTTTTACAACCATGCCTATTTTTTTTTTTAGTGAGTACACTGAGAAAGTGCAAATGAAGCCTTTGATCAAATAAATAAGGTCATACCCGCTGGGAAGGCAAGAGCCATGGAAATTGGGGCTACTCAAGTTGCAGGAATAAAAGCTTGAAGTCTATTCACAAGAGTAAACAATTAGCTTGAAGACAGCATTCAGAGAGGGAGACTTGTTCTGAGTTGTTAACTACAAACTTGTCTTTCTTTCAACCAAGACAATGTGCATCGATCTGGTGATTTAGGCTGTGCATCTTTCCCACGTGGGGAATGAAGATTAAAAGCTTGTTTGACCGCAATGAAAGGAATGAAAGGATAATTAACTTGAATGGGAGTGACAGGTTAGACACGTTTCAAAAAGTGAATATTGAATCTGCCCTCTCTCTCCTCAGCACGATGGCTCTACTCCTTTGGCTCGGCCTGTCGCTGCTGGCCTTTGTCCAGTCCAGCGCTGTGAAGAACTGCCACCCGGGCTGCCGCTGTGAGGTGGAAAGCTTCGGCCTCTTCGACAGCTTCAGTCTGACTCGGGTGGACTGTAGAGGGTTGGGACCCAGCACCACCATGCCAATCCCCATCCCGCTGGACACTGCCCACCTAGACCTGTCCTCCAACTCCATGGGCCCACTCAGTGATGCCATGTTAGCTGGTCCTGGCTACACCACCCTTGTGAGCTTGGACCTTAGTAGCAACCATATAACAAAGGTGAGTGTTTGGAAGAACTAAAACATTAAAGAAATGTGCTAAATGTTTGCTATGTATCATTTATATAGCATAAAGAAACGTCTTTGGTACGGTGGTAGAGTCGGTTGAAGCTCCTGCAGCCACATGTCCTATGTAGTCACTTCTGATGGTTGTGGTGGAATTTCTGTAGTTATTTAGATTTAGATAATGTACAGATGTCATTATGTTTATTCACTGTTCTCTAATGTCAGTCAGACCTGAAAGAGTTTAGCTGTTATTAGAACACCAAGTACAGCTTAGAGAGTGTCAACTGTTCTTCCTCATATCTGTAAGGATGTTTGGTAGACTTACTGTGTGCTCCAGTGTTATAGACGTCACAGTTTAGTCTAGGTGGGTCAATGTGACCCTGATAATGATAATGTCTTTTAGGATATATGCGATGCCTTTCGAAGAGTTCTGCAGATGTGATTGAGCGAGACACGAGAACAGAATTGTGATGTTGAATCATGTCTCCTGGCGTATTCATCTTATGTATAAACTGTCACCAACGTAAGCCATCTCAGTCAACTGAGTGCCTGTTGCTGCTGGTTTTGCTATAATTGCTTTATGCACAATGGGGAATCATCAGTCCACAACAGTGAATAAACCTAATGACATCTGTACATTATAATCTAAATACAGAAATTCCACCACAATGGTGACTTAGCATAGGACCTCTGACATCAGTGTGTGAATTTGTACAGTTGTTGAGTAGTCTGAAGACTAGAAAAGAAGTATACAAGCTCAAGTCCATTTACCATTTACCATTTGAATTGAGGACACACAATTTGATTCAGGTTAAGTTAAATTTAATGAATAAATTGTCCATTCTTTATAAAGTAATTTCACAAAGTTTTGTTTCTGAAGTCCAACATGTATGGGCACCACCTCTAGCTAACCAAAGACAATATTAGCTCACTGTAGATTTAAACTGTGTAACCAATAAAACAGATTACCTGCATGTGTTTTTAGTGTGTTGGTTTAAACTGTGAGCTGTAATTTGCAGGGATTAAAGCTGTAGCAAGCAGCTAATTTTATTGAAACAAAGCTCTATATAACTCAAGAGAACTCCCCAATTCCATACTGGTATGTAGTAAGTGTAAGTGTAGTACTTACCAGCTAAAGAGCCACATTTTTACCTCACGAGTTGGTGAAGACACAGAGCTAAAAGAGAATGAAATTGTGCATCCATCACACATGAACAACATTTACTGCTGGAGGTGTGAATAGGAGACTCTTTCCCTACATGTTTGCCATATCCATTTTTTTTTATAGATTGTGAATTTTTGCTGCCCCCAGGTGTTCAGAGATCAGTAATTAAAGGTTTAGGACTCTACACTCGACTCTACTTGTATAACTGTCCGTTCAGATATACATGTCTATATTATAAATGTCAACAAAGTTTTTATAAATTATATTTAAGATACATATATTTGTGTTTATTTAAAACGTGTTAATAGAAAAGTGAGAATTTCTTTGAACAGGAATAGGCTACTACAAATGGGCCAGAGATATTGTATGTGAAATGTAATTGTATATTTCTATTATAATAAATGCTATACAATGTAAGTATGACTCTTTCAGTACTTTTCTCATACCTCTTCTTTCCTTTGCCTTCACATTTTCAGGTAAGCCCCAATTCTTTGTCCAAGCTGCGTTACCTGGAGACTCTGGATCTGAGCTACAACAACCTGGAGAGCCTCTCCCCGAGCTGCTTCTCTGGCCTCCCGCTGGCTGAAGTCGACCTCAGCCACAACACATTCCAAGTGTTCGACATGGACGTGTTCACTACTAAAGTCCACGGTGAACCTGTCAGTGTGGATCTGTCCTATAACCAGCTGATGTCAGTCTCCATGAGTTTCCATGGACGAGTGTTACACATCCAGAGCTTAAATCTGTCAACAAACCGACTGTCCAGTGTACCAAAGCTGGCAGGACTTCCTCTAAGGTACCTCAACCTGGATGGTAACCCCATCACCCACATCGCCAAGGGTGCATTTACTCAACTTAAAGATCTGGTTTATTTATCCATCAGTGGCCTGCATGAGCTTCAGGAGATCGAGCCGCACAGCTTTAAAGGCCTCCAGAGCCTTCAAATTCTGGATCTCTCAAACAACCCCAAGCTCAAGACTTTGAACACTGCCGTCTTTAGTGGACTAGACTCCCTACAAGAGCTGAATCTGTCTGGTTCCGGTGTGGAATCTTTACCAAATAACATGCTGACCCATCTGCCCAGCATTAAGAGCATCACATTGGGACGAGACATCCACTGCTGGAGGACCCAGAAACAGGGACAGTTCCACCGGCAGCTGGGTCAGGTCCAACACAACGAGGTCCTGAACTGTAATGTGGAGGGTGTGGTGTTGTGAGACTGTGCCTTTGCAAATGGACTAGTCCTTTTAAAGGGCCGGTACACTCTGTCACAAGTGCTTTTGGATGAGTGAGTAGCCTCACACATCCCTCTGGACGTCTTCTATTATGATTCCTGCTTTTCTTTTCTTTTTGACACAACTACACCTGTTAACATATAAGAGAACCAAAGTGTGACGCCAAGGGAAAGAAAGCTCTTACACATTGTTGCCTTCCTCTTTGCTATGACAACCAGCTTTACAGTGTTTTAAAGAGCTGTAAATATGTTTATAGTGGAAAGACGCCTTATCTGCTTTGATCTGACTGCACGTCCTGAGTCTCAAACTTTTATATACATTGGAATGTGAAATCGTCTCGAACGTTAAATGTTGCCTTCTTGAAGTCGAGACACCAGCATCATAAATCTTAAAGCTTTTACAGTGTGTTTCATATCACAAAAGATTTCCTTTTTCAAACATTTCAACCAGTAAAGAATCTCCATTCAATCCAAAACTTTAAATAATGTTGACAGGTTGTGGGACCATATTATGTTTTATTTGCACTTGTGTCAGTCGAGGTAAATGATGCACTTAAACATGGCCTTAATGTCACTGAGTGTTAAATGCATTGTTCATTATACCCACACTGAAAAATATTCTGATTCTAATGTTGACCACTAATATGTTTCATTTTACTTTGAATGTGATGCTTCAGAAAAAAATCATTCTTGTAGTGTGAGTAGTTAGAAAGATACCCGGTTGAGCAGCTACAGCTGGTTCATTTAGCTTAGCACAAAAGCTGGATATGGAACTCTCAAAATGACGGTATTTCACACAAGCCATGATCTTTACCTGAATGTCATCATGTTGTTTTGGTGCCTGGATGGAAGCAGTCTGTTTCTGTATGTGTTCTCAGTTTAAAAAAAAAAAACATTATATACTTTATTTTTTGATCTTGACCCATCTTTGTAGTCTTTCAAGAATATCCAAACAAAACAATCAAACTAATAATAACAAGACAAAAATCTAAATTCATACAATATAGGTATTTAACCCCCCCTCAAACAATAATAATAATGATTAATAAATAAGAAAAAATCCCTGCTGCTCATAGTTCATCCCCTGGTGCCGCTACTCGGACCAACAGCATGAGATACGTTTTCAAGGAGATAAGAAGTAAGGCTACATGTTACTGTAAAGAAAGAGTCAAATTATATTTCCAGACGTAGTTCATGAGTCAATCAAACATGATTTAGTGACAAAGCTATGTTAGAAATACATTTGAATAAAAATGTGAAAGCACTAGAGGACTTGGTCCATGTTGTCTACATGTTGCTCTTTTGGAACACTAATAAAGTTCCAGTTAAAAGTTATGTTGGTGAGTTTATAAATGTATCGCAAGTCAAGGAAAAAGTCAATTGAGAATGTTCAGAGAAGACAAGTTAGTGTGCAGTAAAATGAAACAGGACAAAACTACCATCCTTGAGTCATATTCCTTCACAGCACTGATGTTGTCTAAACCGATGACTGTGGGATATTAGGTATCAGGAATACCAGGCTAGCTCTTTTCCTGTTTTCAGTCTATTTGCTAAGTGGCAGCTGGTATAGCTTAACATATACAATACAGATATGAGAGTGGGAAAAAAAAAGTCAAGTCTTGTACAATCTGTGACTAAAGTTAGTCGGCTGAATTGATCTTTGTTTCACCCACAAAATAAGCATAAAGCTTGCATTTCTGTGTGTGTGAACACAGACCAAATGTGACAACTTGCCCATTGTTTTTGGACAGCTTTGACCTGCTCAATGGAGAGTGTTTGACATGCTTCTTACTAATCTGTGCTTTGTTTATTTATGCAACAGGAGTAAACAAGTGGTGACCACGTTGACCGGGGTTTACTGTGACCTGTTGTCAGATCACTCTCCAGCTGAGCGGGGCTTATATCTCCAAACAGATTTTGCCCAATGAAGTATGACAACGTTCACATATTTGCTACTGAATTCAGTATGAATTTCTGTTGATGGGAAAACACCAAGCTGCACTGTGCTCTTGTGTGTGACCGTTACCTTTGCATTCCTGTGGTAGTTCTGCAGAAGATCGGCCTCCATACTGCATGTGAAGGTTTCTGAATGTCAACAACCTGTAAAGGCTTGGTGGCTTCAGTGTGAGAGACTCTAAAGGAAAGACACCGTTGAAGTGTTTTAATAGAAAGTAAGATGAGCCCTGTCAAGCTGTAGAAGTTTATATTTGTGTGTGACCATATTGTATATAATTTTATATATAAAGTATGAATAATATGTTTAATAAAATGACTATTTCCATGAAGTGTGTTCAGAACACCTGCTGTCTCACATTCTGTCTGACAGATTCTAAATGGTAAGGTGTGTCAGCAAATTCACATAAACACATATTAAAGATCAAATCACATCCCAGGAAAGATCGTGTCAGTGTCTACACTATATTTATCATTTTGCCCGAGATCCTGTTTTTTAAAGCAGTGTGTGATTTTGTTACTATGAACAGGACTGACTCATAACAGGGTGTGTCTCCCTGCAGAACAAGAGGAAAGCTAACAGTTCAGTGGAACTAGTTGTGCGTGGAGCATTTTAGCTTTATTTCTTCCACAAAGTCAAAACATTTATTTTTAGGAACCATTCTTGTCATTTTGGCAACGTCTTATAACTCAGACACACTTGTACATAATGCTTTAATATATGTATTGTTCTTCTCTCATAGTGTGTGTGTGTGTGTGTGTGTGTGTGAGTGTGTGTGCGTGTGCGCGCGCGTGTGTGTGTTTGACTTGTATTTTATTGTTGCCATCATCTGCCCAGCGACAACAGATGGAAATTAGCTAGCTAGCTAAATCTGGTACAAAGCATCTTTTCTCTTTGGAGACTTTTTTTTTTCCTTCAAATAAACTAAGTGTCTGGGTACACAGGCACACACACACACACACACACAGACTTGTGGTCTTCAACAGTCCCTAAAAAACCCAGAAGTGGGCAGAAATGCCAGAGTCTGGCAGAAAACCATGCTGAACTGGTTTTGGTAATCTGCCAAGGAGGTGACAAGGAAGGAGATGGAAAGAGAAAGGAGACAGAGGCAGAAAAAGCTGGGTGTCAGTCATGGCAGCTTAAAGATCTCCTATGTGTGGCGACGAGTGTTTGTCCCGGTAGAGAGAGAGAGAGAGAGCGAGCATTCACATTATGCATTGCTTTCTGTAAACTCACCCAGACACCCAAAACAAAACAAAAAAGAGTGACAAACTAAGGGGTTTTTGGAGATTACATCATGGTTGTACGTGGGAGGAAATAAGAGGATCTTTGGTACGTCTTAAAAGCCCCTCCAGTTTTCTTGTGTCATGCCTGGTGTTACATGAATGCAACCTTTTCTGCTGAAGCTGCCCGAAAGCCCTCAGTGGATTGACCCCATTTCAGAAAACACTTCCAGATGTTTTTTTTTTCTTCTTTTTCTTGTCCCTACACTGAGCGCTGTTGTATGTTGAGACCTAAAGAACCATCCATCAGCTCTGTCCCAGTTGCATCCAGAAGCCCATAAACATAAAGATAAAAGGCTCTTTACAAAACTGTAAAATCACAATTATATTCAGGGGAATGCAAGACCACAACAAATCAGGTCACAGATCAATAGCAGGGGATCTGTGTTTAACCTTTGGGCCCAAATATTGTTGTTTCTCTATTTGTCTAAAAGATAAAGTCCAGTTTGAGTTGAGACTGTTTGAAGGGCAATACTGTGTTTCAGGTTTTTCAGTGTGATCACATACACTGAAAAAGAGGATCAGCTGTAGCTAACAATGACCCTCTGTCTGCTGCAGGACATGCACAGAGATGTTGATATGCAGCAAAAATGCATTGCCGTGCACACTGCTTGATACATTATAGTCCAGCTGGCTGATCTGTACATGTGTGGAATCATCTGTTTAGGGAGAGCACACCGTGTAACAGGATTCTGAAAGAAAACCTTAAAACATGTTTTATACCATGGAGGTCAGCAAGTTTCTTTTTACGGTTGAAATCAATACAGCAGTGTAGTGGTGAGCGATATAACGATCTTAGATCGTGAAGGATTTTAACATGCTGACGATCTGCAGGGAGATCGTAGAACCGGGCTAATGTGTTTATTCTATCATGCTGCAGTTTATGCTCCGACACAGTCACGTCTCCCTCTCTTTTGCTCTGCAGCGGTGAAAACGAAAACGAAACTTAAAAGTAAAGTCCGCAAAAACAACTCCATATGACATTTCCACTGATATTTTTCCAAACCGACACGGCGTGAGCAACGGTTAACTTATCCGCATAGTTTGCAGTTAAGTTTACATCTCGGATAGCGAAACCGTTTAACGAGCCGGAGAGACATTAACAGTCAGGATCAGACACCGGTGTTTAAAATGTTGCTGTCTGTGTTTTCTGCTCTCCCTCAGTTTTTAAAAGTTACTATCAAGCCTCTCCACCTGAAGCTCACCTGTAGTGATAACCAAACTTATAGGGATTACACTAAACGACGTTACACGATGCGTGCAGCAGGCAGGTGAGAGTGAGTAACCATAGTGACTGTCTGTCTGTCAATCAACCATGTCCCGCCCCCTCTATGAATTAAACTATTCTTTCAGTAAAACTTACTTTGATCATGTGTCACAGAACGAACACATTCTGTATTATGTTTGATTATATATAAGCCAAACTAAAGTTAGTCCAATGTTGTCATAAAAAACAACAAAGGCTGCAGAGCCTGTATGAAGCTACAGCTGTAGGAACTCTGCAGGGCTAAAATAGAACAGAAACACAAGAACTTGAAGTCTACATGTTTTTAAATGAATGCATCATTGAGTGAAAATGTTCCTGATGAACACAAAAAGAGGACACATAACTAAATCATAATTTCAAAGTGGTGAGGAAAACCTTCAAATTGTTTATAAATATTGATCAAATTGAGGGAAAGACATTTCGGGTGCTAAAGATGTTCTGGGTGAGAGACCTCCTGACCTCCTACAAAGATGTTTTTCAAATAGATTAAACTTGTTAGCACAGTTTTTGTGCATTTAAAAACATCATAGAGGGAAATGAGTTTGGTTGAACTGGTCAGGAACTTACAAATTTGTCTAAAGATCAGTATGAAAAAAATCGTGATAAAATCGTGATTGGGATTTTTCCAAAATAAAATCGTGATATGATATTTTTCCCATATCGCCCACCTCTACAGCAGTGGACAGAAATGGTAAAGAGTACTATCTGACAAACAAACCAAGCTGAACTCACTAGCGGTACAGTGACATGGAATATGGTTGCCATAACGACTGAATGTGGCAGAAAGTGAATGTTCTATAATAGTATTGACACAAACATGTTTAAGTGCCGTACATTCCCAAAACACTGACAGTGTTGAAACTGAATGTTTTTATCTTCTCTTTACATCTTGTTTTTTTCAAGGTTGGAAGTCATTGCATCACCCAAACGTTTTCTAAATGGCTGACTCTCTCCATTTCCTCCTCTGAGGATCGGCAGAAATGTGAGAACAGGAGACTTTCTCTTGTAGCTTAATGTGGATTACAGTTTATACTGGGTCAAAAGATAACTTAATGTGGTAAGCTTTATTTTCAGGCACCTGATGTCTAAAAAAACAATATTTACATATGTTATGTGCACAGGGTTGTGGATTAATCACAGCCAAACAAACAGCAGCTCACTTCAAGCAGGTCTGAACAAGGTTCAACAAGATAAAGTCCTTACCACATCTACAAAAAAACAAATGAAAGCATACCTGCTTTTCTTGTTTTAGTTTATTTCGACTATAAAGAAGATTGAAAGAACGATAATTAGGCAAATTTCTAAAAACAACTCAATCAAGGCATGCTGTTTGCATTGTGCTGGGTGGGGGTGGGGGCATGTGAGTAAAGAAATCGCAGGTAATCATTCGCTTCCCTGCAGGTTTGGCACAGAGATGCAATTACTTCAAAGCAAAAGGAAGCTTTGAACTGTGTATAATTAATTCAGGCAAGCAGAACCTGTGTATTTTTATTAAGTAGCCTGTTCTTGCTTGAACAAATATCAAACTAATGTAATTTGACCTTCCCAGATAGAATCTCTGGAGGCTGGAGCTTTTCCAAGTGAATTCACTTTGCTTCAAACACTGCGGGCCGATACTGCTTCAAACACTGCAAGCTTGTACTTTTCATTGTTGCAGGAGGCTGTGAAACCCGAGAATGCATTTAGAGGCAAGTTCCAACAAATTCTATTAAGAAAGAAGAACCTCATTATTTTTTTCTTAACTTGGATATCATCTAATTTTGCATCCCCGTAGAGATTGTGGCAGATATACAGTTTTTATTTGGCATTAGTAATATTGACATAGTGATGCCGTCTGGCTCGTCATGCTGCTGTGACAATAGACACCAAGGCACGATGTCAGAGTGCTGCAGCTCAGCACAGAGGTTTTATTTTTCAGACAAACAAAAGAACAGCTCTGCTTTCAATCAGCCACAAAGATTTGCTTGTTATTCTATGAGCCACTTAAGCTGCTGGAGCTTGTACAATGGCACAGCATTGTGGTTTATTTGGTAAATCCTAATGACAATTTTATGTGGCTTGAACACTTAACTGCAACATATGAATTGAGGTCTTGCTGCGATTGATGCTTTATACCTGAGGGTTTCATGCATATGATCCAATTTTACATCCTTGTAATAAATGTTGTAGTTTAAGTTCCAGTTTTGAATGAGTTGTTTTATATTTAAAAGCCTAAGAACAACTACTTGACTTCTAAACACTGAACTATGTCATAATCAGACGCCTGACACAAGGTCACAATCGGCCGATGCATTGTTTAGGGTGGTCATGATAAAAATAAAAAAAAACATTTAAAAAACTCACAACAGCAAAAAAAGGTTCACTTTCCCATTACAATAAACAACTTTTACATTTCCAGGGCTGCACCTTGACTCAGCAGTTGCAGTTGTAAAAAGCTGATTCTTGTATTTTTCTTGAATAGGTGCTGACATGGAAGTTGGGATGGTTCCATCGGCTGTTTACAAGTCAGCATTTGACATCTCAGAAAACTAAGGTCATGGTTTGTTAGAACAATTGTTTGTTGGTGTATCGACATTACAAAAATATCCTGACCTTTTAAAATTACACTTAGTGTAAGCTTCAATACTTTTCTTTTGTTATTGTAACGTAATTTTATTTTTCTTGAGTGTTAAAAAAAATCTTTATTTTACACTTTATGTAAATTTCACCCAGGCTCCAACCACATCCAGTAAAGGACACTCGTTAGCAAATGCTAAGACACCAAGCTGTAAAAATTGACAT